ACGTGGCTACCTTGATACGTTCCGTTATTGGCTCCCCATCAATGGACGCCGGCAGCGAACGCAACTCCTGCACGAATTCTTGCAGAGAGCGTTTCGCCTGTCGTGCTCCAAAGAAGCGCGTCATAAGCAACACTTCGTTGTTAGGCGGCTGATACATGGCACGAATCTTTGTTTTAAAGATCGCCCATGATGGAAACGCATCAGCATTTGCCATCAGCGCAGAGTATGCCCACTCTGACGCTTTGCCACGCAAGTTGGACATGGCATACGACACCATTCTGGTGTCGTCTTCGATGATCTGCGCCACTCCACATTGCTCAACTGCTAATAGCCAGTGAACAATCGTGTGAGGGCTAGTTCCATCGAACTTCGGAGGGTCCATCCGAATGGGCCTCGGTTGAGCAGGTCGGGCAGAGAGCGTCTCAACAGTTCTGTAGAGCGCCTCATTCCATGCCTGCTTAAGCCTAAGCTCATCCTGAGTCTTATTGATGGACTCAGCCGTAGCTTGGCTGTTTACCTCGGACGCGTTTCTACGCTGTCCGAGCACAAACTCCTCAAATTGCTCCAACTGAGCAACATGTTGCTCAGGAGGACAATGCAAGAGATTGACCAGGGCTTGTTCACCAATTCCCTGCGCCATAAGCTCTGCCAACTCCATATGGTGTTGGGAAAGGTGAGGGAAGTCACTCCAGTCCATATTAAGGACCATGTCAACCACACGCACGCTCAGAGAGACGGGTCGTGGGAAGGACTACTAGTGCTACCAAGTGTAGACGGGCACTTCTACGAAGTTGCCTCGTACTACGAGCACACACCTTCAGCACAAGCGAGGAAGCGATAAGACCGTCTTACCTTCACGTGTGAGGGTGATTATGCGGTTGGTCGACTGCTTAAGCAGTCGTACCACCAGTTGCCTCTCGCTTAAGCGAGAGTGCAACGAATTTCTAAACAAGAAGTCACCGGCGTCACGCAGAATCTTCTTCAGCTTCTCGTGCGCGGTGCTTCGGTGTTTAAGCAAATTCAAGACTGAGCTATATTTAATTAATTATAACTAAATAATCCTTGTCGGGTTGGGGTAACGCCCTCCCGGAAGGCCTGAGCTAGCTTAATGCTAGTCAGGCCTTGGACGGATGCTTCGCGGTATCCGTCAGTTTAGGACGGGCCTCTCTCCCTCTACACACCTCTCTCTTGCCGCTCTCACCCCCAGCCGCCAGTCAAGCCGCCACGATGTACGCCGCCACGCCCGAAGTCCCGAAGTCCCGGCATCTCCTCTTAGGTACGCTCGCATAATCCTTTGTTCCACGGTGCAAGCAACAAGAGACCCTCCCTGGGTAGGACCTGTTGACAAGATAGACATCCAAGGGATCGAAGCAAGAAACCTACCGCTGGACACCGCCGTCGACTGGCCCCAGACCTGCACCTCCTTTGCCGGTGTGCAAAAGATCGTGCAGCCTGGACGGCCTTCAGCGCGGCGCATATAGCGCGCGCCGCTTAATGAACCCTGGCGAGAGTAGAGAGAAATGTAGAGAAGAGAGATAACCCGACGCATGCGGAAGTTGAGCCACTTTGGTGGCAAGACGGCTCGCGTAACGCGTTAACATACATACATATAACTAAATATATACTTAACTACTGATTGGCTATATATATATATATATATATAGTTCGGATGCGCGACTCTTTAGAAGCGTATCCTGTCGCATGATCTTAAATCTAGATTTAAGATCGCAACTGACGTCCTTCTGAGACGTCGAGATGCCTAGCTTCAACTAGCGTCATCCCTTCCCATGTGAATCCATAAATGGATACCACATTCACGAGGGTGGATCACATTTGTGTATCGCACCCAAGTGACAGGTCAAAAGTAATCATGGATACTTTTAGACCTTACATTAAGTATATTACTTAATGTTTACGTGTAACTAGATGCCCTGTTACAGAGCGCTTCCTTAACGCCCTATTTATTGCAAAGTGCAAGCTGCACTTGGTAACCACTCCAGAGCTTCGACCTTCCCAAGGATACATGGATGTTCTAGAGGCTTCTAGTTGCTTCTACGGATGTGATAGGTCTTAGATAGCAAGATGATAGAGTGGTTATCACTTGTGATTAAAAATAAAAGCACTGACGAGGCCCCGGGGTAGCCGAAACGCGTCTGGCACGCGTTAATATGCAAGTCATTCATGTTAACTTTACTCTTAAATTTCCAATATTTTTAGTGCAAAACGGTTACGGGAGCTCTCACCCCGTTACATGGTGTGTTGTGTTTCTGATTCAAAAGTTATGGTGTGGTGGAAGTAGTAAAAGTGTAGTGGCAATATTAACTCTCAAAAAGTAACATATGAAGTGGTCGAGACTAATAGTATTTAATCGTAAAGGTTTATTAAAATTATATACGTCCCGAGCTTTAGACTAAGCCATTCAATTAAATTATTGAGGTAATCAATTTAAGTAGGTTTTATCTAGACAGATTCTCTTGTAGCGAAAATTTCTGTACGACTATCATACACTGCCCGATCCTAAAAAGTTGACGGTCTATGGATAGAAGTTGCTCGATCAAGCGTGTCATAGTCACACTCGGGTCAGGCATACTGTGTAGCTTATTCCTCAAACATTTTTTTTCAAAAGATTGCATCGAAGACCTGGTTACTATTGCAATTCACTTACTTGTATCTATTGTCAACTGACATTGGGCAACACGCGGTTGCTTATGTATGTAAATGCGTTACGCGAGCCGTCTTGCCACCAAATTGGCTCAGCTTCCGCATGCATCGGATTATCTCTCATTCTCTACAATTTTCTCTACTCTCGCCAGATTCCATTAAGTGGCGCGCGCTATAAGCGCCGCGCTGAAGGCCAAATAGGCTGCACGATCCTGTGCACACAGGCGAAGGAGGTAAAGTACTGGGGCCAGTCGACGGCGGTGTCCAGCGGTAGGTTTCTTGCTTCGATCCCTTATATGTCTATCTTGTCAACAGGTCCCACCCAGGGAGGGTCTCGTGTTGCTTGCACCGAGAACAAAGGATTACGCGAGCTTACCTAGGCGGAGATGCCGGGACTTCGGGCATGGCGGCGTACATCGTGGCGGCTTGGTTGGCGGCTAAGGGTGAGGGGAAGAGAGAGGGAGAGGCCCGTCCAAAACCGACGGATGCCGCGGAAGCATCCGTCAAAGGCCTGAACTAGCATCATGCTAGCTCAAACCTTTCGGATGGGCGTTATCCCAACCCGACCAGGATCGCGGTTGCTTATGTTTGCGCTAATCTCTCTTGGAATCCGTCTCCACCATCAGTAGTCACTTCGAATGCGTGCATTATAGCGAGTAGTTCCTCTAACACGCTTTGAAATAAGACTTCCATGCAAAGACCCGCAATTTGTAGGTGCTGAAACGAAAGGATATACATTTGCAAGCAGGACAGGTGCAGATGGAGCACATTTTCACATTTGTCGAATTATTTGATATCGAGAAGTTTTACGTACTTGCGGGTATGAATGTCAAGTCGCTAATGAGCCATACGACTAAGCTTGTCTTGGCGAACGGTCCATCCCGTTCGCCAAGCTAAGGTGCCAAAATACCCGGACAAGGTCCGCGAAACAAACCAAATTCGTCCATTCAGTTCTACTCAGGACGTTTGCGTAATGCTGATCCTATTTTTTGTTATGTTGACCATGAATAACGCAAAATCGCATGGACCAACGTTCGTTACGGCATTATTCTGTTCATTTTACTGGTAGAAAAGATGCAAATTGGCACCAGCGCGAAGATGGTTAGTCCAAATGAACGACGTGCCTGAGTTCCCACCGTGGATGACTCACAAATAATCTGCGGTATATTTACCATTACTAAATATATTGATATATTACCAATACCGAATGCACCCAGACACACACGTAACGACCAGCGGAATGCGCTGATTTCGGGCACCAACTGTTCCCGCAGAGGTAAATTCTCCATACTGTCTGTTGTTACCCATTGTGTACAATCTCATGTGTTTGCCGTTACAAAGACTGCGCTTGTCAAAAAAGTTCATTCGCGTCGCAGTGGCACGATGCCCGACCAGAACCGGCTCCCACTCTAAACAGTAAAGACGCGCGCCGATTGATCGACAAGTGCATGTAGGATTTCTCATGTGTCTGCGGGATTCGTCACGATTTTGTAAGGCAGGCTGCCAGCAATAGCCGGTGCCGATTGACAGCGGCATCTTTCGTGCGCTTGTCGACTGCAACGTGCGCGTGCTGCAGCCGAGCCAACTGGCGCTGGCTGGTTTGGTAACGATGATCGAATAATGACTTTCATTTCTCGTGTGTCGATCCGACAAGACAAGAAGACTCTAGTCCCACGTATGTCCCGCATTTCGTTCAGAGAGATTGTAGCTGTTTTGCGTTTGAGTAAAAGTCATCCACTAACTGCAACGTCACATTAACCATAAAAAGTGAGACTTGGCCATCGCAGTTTCCGACTATTGTTTCCATAGAGCACTAGTACTTCTCACCGCATGATATGCTGCTGCAAATCTTCGACGCAAACGAACCGAAAACTCCATGACAGGGAGAAATAGTTCAAGCAACGGGAGCGCCACCTTTCCATGCCTTCGGTTGACTATGAAAGAACATGGACCACCACGCAACAGCTTGTCAATTGGTGCTCTTCGTGGCTGTCGCCACTTAAATAAAATGCTACGTATCTACGTTACACGCGCCGCAAACGTCAGCTCTGTCCGCAAACAAGTGTCTGCTCCAGACGGGGCGCGGGCCTTTTTCGAACCGCCACGCACACGGTTGTGTGAGTTAGAACAAGCCCAGCCGTTCGCTTGAACCGTGAGCGGCAGATGGCAACACAACCTGCTTACTTCGGGCTCGGAATCGGGTCGTCCACCAACGACCTCTCTTTGTCCTGAGTCGCGCCTGCAGCTCGCTCATTACCAAAAGTGCCCAATTCTCGTTAAGTCTCGGCCACAGACGCAGCTCCGCTCTGTAGTCACCTCATATTCTACATACCGAAAGCATGTTCCAGCTTACCGACTCGATGCTACGCGGTGTCATGCACCACCGTGCACAATTTCCTCTAGAGCTGTGCCATCCACCGACCTTTGAGCCCAGGAAGCTTTCGCTAGTCTTCCCGACATTCGAGTCGGACACCACCAGTGTCACCTCCACGACGCCCAGCGACACCTCCTCCTCAGTCTCCACACCGGTGCAGCGTGAGCGCATGAGTCTCAGCTTCATCACGAATCCGGTGCACCACACTCCCTTTATAAGTGTCCCGCACACCGGAAACGTCGTTTGCTCCAAGAAGAACTGCTATCGCTCGGCCAACAGCCGCTTCGGTGCGTTCTGCGAGTTCCACAAACCCAGTCGGCTCTGCAAAGTGCCCGATTGCCGCAAGTGTGCCAAGACTGGAGGATTTTGTATCTCGCACGGTGGCGGGCGACGGTGTCGTCACGATGGCTGCATCAAGAGCGCCAAGGAAGGTGGCTACTGTATCGCCCATGGGGGCGGCAAGCGCTGCCGTGAAAAAGGGTGTTCCAAATCTGCACTGGCTGGCGGACTGTGCTCCGCGCACGGTGGTGGCAAGCGCTGCAGCAAGCTCACGTGCTCCAAGACAGCGCTAAAAGGTGGCCTCTGTATTGCCCATGGTGGTGGCAGGAGGTGTGAAGTCATTACGTGTTCCAAGAGCGCCGTGGGCGGCCACCTCTGCGTCTCTCACGGCGGCGGACGCCGCTGTCGAGAAGAAGGCTGCGAAAAGGGTGCTGTACGTCGTGGAGTGTGCATTCGTCACGGGGCGCGGCAAGACTAAAGAGACCTTCCTCATTATGATACCAATTAAGTTAGTCGTAAAAGCTTAGGGGCCCATATCCTCATATAAATGCATCTAAGTAACTGTAAGATTGTCCACCACCACGTAGTCTTAGGATGCGACATAGCACGTCCATGACTCGCCACCCCACCAGATGATTCGGGCATATCAATTGAAGCGATACGGTGCGTGTATTCCAAAGGCAGTGATTAAATCGCTCTGGATGTCGTCGGCGTCCGCTTACGAGTATTTCTTTCTACCCGTAATCTTTAAGTAAGGCCCAGCTGCTGGGATCACAAAGCTCATCCGATTCGATCCATCCGGATTCTAGTAGATCACCAAGTGGGCTTTGCTGTCGTCAGCCGATGCGATGAGTCATGCGGTGCCTGTTTATCAATAAATCGATCCATAGCCGTGCTCGCTACATAAAATCGCAACTAGAAAATTCTTGGTGTACACATCCTATCCTAGGTCTGACGATAAAATTTGGTCGCCTCAATATGCGCACTTGGCTGGGCTGCCCTCGCACTTCAATCTACATCAAAGGATGAGCTAAGTACGCATATTGAAGATTGACGTGCGAGCTCAGCTAAGTACGCAGAAAAACTAAAATGGCCAGCGCCGCGATGGTCGTATACTGCTTTGACACGCTCCAGTCACACTTCAATGACGACGTAGAGCCGACACCTTTCTTCGACGTACAGCAGGAATAGTATGCACCTGTTCTCACCTTCTCTATCGTTTAATCAGTCTCTATAACTCGATTAACCATTCGACAGTCCGCTATTTGTGACGTGGGAGATCGAGGAGCACGGCGGAATCCACTTACGTGGTTGCATTGGGACGCTGGCGCCCACAAGATTGCGCAATCTACGTGATTTTACGTTCAAGAGTGCGTTGCGTGATCGCCGATTTGGCCCCATCGGGCCGCAGGAGCTACAGCGTTTGCACTGCTCCGTGTCGTTGCTCATTGACTATGAGGACGCCAAGAGCTACGATGACTGGGAGGTAGATGCATTCATTACCTTGACATTTGTATGAAAACCAGTCAATTTGATACTTGGTCTGTTTTTGTCCGGTTGCTGTTCATTGATTGAAATAGATTGGCACACACGGGATCATCATCGAGTTCAGTGACTTGCGCGGTAAAGAGTATAGTGCCACGTACTTGCCGCAAGTCGCTCGTGAACAAGACTGGACTCATGTCGAGACAGTCACGTCTCTTATGAGGAAAGCAGGATATCGTCGCAGTGTCACTGAAGCAATGTTGAAAAGTATCAGCGTCACACGCTACCGCAGCTCTATTCACAAGCTCACGTACCAACAGTATCTCTCCGTCAAACAAGAGATACTAGATCGTGCGTGAAGCTTTTGCTTGCGTTTACATTATACGTGCTACATTTTAGCTTGGAAGTCTACTGAAGTTGCATGTTTTCCGAGCATTAACAACTTTTATCTGGTTGATACACTCTTCGTATGTATTATTGACGGCTATGTTCTCTATCCAAACGCATTGGTTATGTATGCGGCACCTGTTGGTTTATTCACACACAGGTTGTCGGAATAGCTTTTAGACATCGGCGTTTCGCTGGGCTATGCGCTCCTGATAACTGTCATGAACCTGCTTGATGAGGCTGTCTCCACCGAGAAGTGGATCATAGCTGCGCTCGTCTTCGCTCCCTGTGTAATTAGCATCTTCGCTGCCTCCGTGCTGGTCTACGACGTACACGTTCTCTTTCACGTCGATTCCATGCAACTTGTCCTTTCCTAAGCCTTTTGCTTCACCTCCCTTCTCGCGGCGGACAGCAGTGTTCACGTGGTGGCGCTTGTTTTTGGCAGAGGCCGTGTATTGACCCGCCAGACGAGAGTATACATCACCCTGCGGAGCTTGAGGGGGGTATCGTGCCAAAGGCATCTTTGCCTAACGCCATAAGCTCATTGTCGTCGCAATCGTAGTTATCACGTGGACGGTCTGTAGTAACGTAGGACATCGGCTGCCGCAAGCCAGAAGAGCTGCTGACGTATTGTTCTGACTCGTTCTCGCGCTTCATATTAGCGAGCACCTGTAAAACCGAGTTGCTCTTGATAGAAGGTAGATTCTTCAAGCCTGCGGGAGTTCCAACAAACTGCTCCGTCGGGGCATTGAAGGACCTCGGCAACTTGCGCTGCCCCTTGTCCTTCAATCGCCTCGAGCGATTACGCTCTGAGCGGCTTTGCAGGATTTCACGTTTAGAAACGCTCTCTTGCACACGATTCTTGTGAATACCCGTGAAATTCGTAGGGTTAGATAGTCGCGAGAAAATGGATTTGGACGTGGCAGAAGAATCATCGCTACCCATATGCGGTGAGGTTGCATCATCTCTATCATCTCCATGCAAACCATACTCTTCGCTGCCGTTACGTAGCAGCGCACTCGACTTTTGCAATGACATCGACGCAAGATCCAGGTTACTACCACCCACATTCTCTGACTCCATCCTAAAACGGCGGCGAGCTTGACCGACTGTGCGGGAAATTTGAGCGTTGTCGTCGTCATCACTTTGCATGAGGACGTCCTCGTTGCCGTCCTGCTCATGTTCATCATCGGGCTCATCACCCATATATTCATCATCACCATCCGACTCGTTGATCCAGGAAGTTTGTCCCGATTGTGTTTGTCTTGACACTGCCGCAAACTTATTTCCAATCGACGATGAAACCGGAATTTGCGACCGACCTGGTTTCTGGCTAGCCACCACAGCAACAGCGCTTAACTTTCTTAACTTGGTTTCCAAATATCGGACACGATCTCTGCTAGCAGCAAGATCCAGCTGTTCCTGCTGAAGACGATCTTCCATCAACTGCTTTTCTCGATCCCTTCTAGAGGAAACCCTTTCCAACTCTTCGCATTTTTTTCTTAGTACCGAGTTTCTCTCTTCAGACACAGACAACAGTATGCGACTACGCTCGTCGAGCGGCTCCTGTGCAGAGGACGACCCATCGAGGCTTGTTCCTCCGTTTACCACACGCTGCAATGACTCTTCGTAACTCTGCTTTATTTGCGCTGTTTTTTCACGCTCTTGCTCGAGATGACGAACAAGATCTGCCATTTCAACTTGCTGTTTTGCAAGCTCTTGCTCCCTTTGCTGGTCTTGCTTCTTCACATCGACAGCCATACTGAATAGCATTTTCAAAAGCGTTCGAGCCTCAGGCAACGACTGCGTTGTCTCAATTTTCGTTAGCGCGTTGCTTCCGTCAACCACCCGTACATCGTCAGAAATCTCGAAAATTTTCTCTTCCTTATACTCTAATTGGGCCTGACAAGCCTCAATCCGCTCCTCCAAGTCGTAAAGTAATTGTTCTTCAGCAAGATTAAGCTGTTGATCTTCTCGTCCGCTGTCAAGTCGGCTAGGCGGAGCCATGCTCTGCATGGGTGAAGTTAGCACATCTCGAATGTTCGTCCGGGACGAAATTGAGTTCTTTACCTCCCTCTCAAGCATGTCCCGCTGGACATAAAGCGCTTCCATCTCCTGTGCCACAGCCTCTCGTTCCTTCTGTAGTTGCTCCAGTTTTTGTTGCTCTTCTGCACGCTTTTTCACCTCTTCTGATAACCATTTGGCATCGTGATCAGACCGATTCATGCCAGGTTTCTTCTTGCGACCCGAATTCATTTTCCTTGCCTGAGCTGTCAGTTGCTGCTGATGCTTGAGCCGCTGTTTTGCAGCCGTAACTTCCTCCATCTTTCGCTTCAGCACCCGCTCCTGGGCATCCTTCTGGGATCCCAAGCGCAAAATGTGTTGCTTGTCACGCTGCTGAGTGCGCTTGAGACTCATTATCTCGCGGCGCCGCTGCTTTGCTTCTTCTTCATATCGTTTTCTCTCTTCCTGTATTTTCTTAACTAGGTCCACCTTTTGCCGCTTCATGTTGCTGATCTCCGAGTTTAGTACACGTAGCTGCATCTCGTTCTTTTTCTTCTGGCTCATAAAGCAGCTAATGTCGTTTTGCTTCTTTCGTAGTGCGTGGAGTTCTTCTTCCTTCAACTTGAGATCTCGTGACAGTTTTGTCAGTCGCCCGTTCTCGCCTGATGTATCTCCTCCAGCAGCTGCCTTCTTTTCGATCTGCTGAATCTCCTCCACAAGACGATCGCGGTCCACCTGTGCAGTGTGCATCTCTTCCACCATTTCAGCCATCTTCTGCTCATAGAAACTCTTCATCCGATCGTAGTTTTCTTGAGCCTGGCGAATGTTTTGCACTAGTTGCTCCTTTAAGGAGATATCGTGAGCAAGATCCTGCACCGACTCGCCAAGATGACGTTGACGGCGCTGAAACACACGCATACGACCAGCTTCTTCTTGATTTTCCTCCTCAGCTTCCATGCCGTCTGCCGAATCATTGCCATCATTACCGTCTTCGCTTCCTTCACTGTTACCACCAGCATCATCACCGCTTTCGCCTTCTTTCAATTTGTTCAACAGGGCGGTTTCTCTCTCAATCTCCTTCTCTGCTCTTTGAAGCAGTTCACTTCCTACCTTTGTATCAACCTCCGCGAGCGAAGGAAGAACGAATGCAGCAGCGGCCGATGGTCGAGCTCCACTACTGTTGGCGTTAGTGGTCGATCCAGGGAAGTTCATCATGACGTTGTCGCGGTCTCGCTCAGTTGCGCGAAGTTTTTCTTGCAGCTCATAAATTATTCGGAGCTGATCTTTCAAAACATTGCACTTTGACTCTCTCTCATCCGATGACACGGAGCTTCCACCAGTGCCTTCTTCGACGCATAGCCTCAAATAGTCGCGTTCTGCTTGCGCTGCTATCATCTCCTCCTTCAAGTGATCAAGCTGCGTTTTGCCACGCTTCAGCTCAGCCGTCAGTCGAGCCACCTCATTTTCAGCATTCTCAGCTCGAGTCTGGAGATTGCCAAACGAGTCAAAGTCGTTAGCCATACCGATGAAATTTGTTCCCACCGTTGTCATCTTCAATTCGCTTTCCGAAAGTCCCGGATTGCGCAACCGGTGTACTTCCATCTGAAGCATTTCTATCTGGCGACGCAATTCCATGGTCATGGCTGATGCTTCGTCACGGTTGACCACAGGCTTGTTCTGAATGTTCCTAGCTCGATTCGCATACTTTAGCGCGTTTAGTGTCTCTTCAAAGTTCACATCAGCAGGACTTACACACGTAAGCATCAACGTTCGACTGTTGCCACCTAGAGAGTCTTGAAGCATACGAGTCAACTTGGAGTCACGATACGGAACGTGCACCTTGCCTCGCTTCTTGTCGTCTCCCAGCGCGCTGATGACATTACCGAGTGCAAGAAGACCCTTGTTGATATCGATACCTTCTTTTAGGCGCTTGCCCTCCGCTTGCGTTCTTTTCTGTCGTTCCGATCCGGCAAGATCCACAAAGTTAAAGTACGAGTTTCTCGTTTCATAGTCTCCTTCCTCCATTGCTCTGCCATCAGCAGGAAGGTCACCAATAGGAACGTGTTGTACCATAGTAACTGTAAAAATGGCATGGGAACGACTCGAGTGGGCGTTCATGAGCGTACTGCCCGTTGTGCGACATAACGTGCCCCTCTCCAGCAATCTCATGCACTCGTCCGATTCGACTACTTGGACTTCTGAAGCTCCAGTGACCTGTACTTCTCCATTTTCCGCTTCACGTAGACTCACTTTACTCTCTCCTGTAGAATCTCCCAGCGTCACGAGGAGGTCATGAATTTCTTCTCCATAGATCTCCAAGAACCGAATCTTAAGCTCTGCTTTGTAGTGCTGATTCTCCCGAATCTTGGTGTCGATCTGGTCAAACATGTAGCTGATTACTCGAGGGATGATGCCGTAATCCTCCGGCGGAATGTGTACCGAGCTGCCACTTCCCATCGTGTACGTCTTACCTGAGCCCGTTTGGCCATAGGCAAAGATAGTTGAGTTATAACCATCAAATGTAGCGCGAATGAGAGGGTCTACGCAGCGCCAAATGTCACTCTGTTGGGCGTATTTACTGAACACGTAGTCGTACGTGAAGGCGCGATTCTTGCCCATAACAATCTGGTTCTCCTCCTCCAGTACGGACACGCACTCATCACAGCGATCGACTTTCTCGCGGCCAATAAGCGGTCGGATACGCACGGCCACACGAACAGAAGCAGCATCGTCGTCCGTCATGGCTGAGAGGAGGAAGAGCCTGTTTTTGTGTAGCAGATCGAGCCATGAGAAAAGTTGCACTACTTATGTTGCATGGGACGATGAATGTTGCACCACAGTTGCTAAACTTCAACTTAACTGACGAACTTCGCACGCTTTTTCCTTTTTAGTTCACTTAGACGAATTAAGTATGCATTGTGGCTAACCTAATCGTCATCGTTACCAAAGAGGCTGTTGAAAAAGCCCATGACGCCTCCACCACTTGACTCATCTGACTCACCCTCCACGACATCATCAAACTTGCTTTCATTGCCTGGCTCGACGCCGCCATAAATATCGTCATCATTGGTACCCCAGTCATCTTTGACATTTTCCGCTCCGATATCTTCGCCATTACTGACGTCAGTTCCTGCACCAGACGCTTCGTCTGCTGCACCAGCGTTGGCATCTTGGTCATCACCACCACCACCGCCCATCAGGAAGGGAAACATCATGCCGCCTGGCCCACCGCGAGGGATTCGGGCCGCCATTTCCCCAACCACACGCTCAAATGGTAGACTCTGAAGATAAATTTTACCCGGTCCAGTTAGCGTCGTCAAGAACAACCCTTCGCCACCAAACAGCACATTCTTCGCTCCTTTCATCATAGTAATGTCGTACTGCACGCTAGGTTCGAATGCAACAAGACAGCCACTCGAAATACGGAGTATCTCATCAGGTTGCAGCTCGCGCTCAATTAAAGCTCCAGAGGCACGGACAAGGACATCACCGCTACCCGTCAGTCTCTGAAGAATAAATCCTTCACCACCAAAGAAACCGACGCCAAATTTCTTGGCGAACTCCTACAGTTATCGAAAAGGTACAGATAGGCTTCACGTCAATACAATTCATTCTTTACCTTGCAGTTAGCAATGCACCACAAACCATTTCAATGTTGACAGTGTCCGAGCCACACAGAAATGCCCCCTTTTGGCAAATGATAGACTCCCCAAGGAAGTCGCTCAGACGTAGGTGAACAATTTTGCTCGGAAAGCTCGTGCCGAGTGCCAGCTTTCCCTTATCGCTACCGTGATATGTAAAACGTGAGACGAAGAAATTTTCTCCTGTCATCATTCTGGTAGAATACCAAAATGGAAGTCAGCATTGTATGTATAACTAATCCCAAGAATTACACCAGCCTAAGCGATGACATACCGCTTCATGCCTTCGCCTAAACCTCCAGCGGTAGTCGTTTCCATCTCCACGCCATCGGTCATGTAAAGCATAGCACCCGTCTCTGCACGCAGGCATTGCTCCGGCTCGAGCTGAATCTACAACATTATAAGTGCTAGTGAGTGATGTCTCACAACTGTAAAGAGCCCCACGGTCAGTAATGTTGTCCTACGTGCGCAATTTGCATATCATGGCCCTCGATAGACACAGCTGTGTCAAAATTAATGGGAACAAAGACTTCGTTTCCCGTGTTCTCATGGTGAGGCATCGTGACCGCCTCTGACTCCTCGCTTCTCTTCTCCTTGGGTTCACGCTTTGTAGAAGTTGCAGCAGCTATTGACTGCGGGCTAGAGCCAGGAAGGTGACAAACAGTCTTGCGCAGACTTTTGTTGTAGTACACCACGTCTCCTGCAAGAGTAGCCACGCAAAGATTGTAGTCAGTATAATCGTTCTATAAGGTGTCCCTCGACGGACAATTTAAAAGTGCTGTACACACCGTTCCTGCGCGTGATAGCCTCCCATCCATCCGGCATTACGGATGAGAGCATTCTGATCTGCAGCGGATGCGCAAGGCGAGTGAAGACCGTCGCTTTAAGTCGTCGGAGTAGCGCTTGACGCAGCATCGTCTCGTCAATTAACTACCGGGAGAATGAAGGTTTTTGATGTGATGTACATAATCGACGACCTGAGTGTGCCGCGGTTTAAATTTCTCTTCACTGTGCTCAAATCGAATGCAGCTTGTACGAGGTATTCCAAGACTGCCGAACTTGCAGCGCATGCAACGCTGTACAATACCACATGTTTGAACAATCACAGTGCAGCCCAACATGTCCACATCAAGTGCAACCGGTGGACCACAATGAACCTCGTCTCCTTGGGAAGCGGCGTCCGCTACGCGCGCTTTTTTTCAACACCGGTAATTTACGTCCTCTTAATGCAAAAATTACCACTTTCCTTACGCAAAATTTGCAATAGCTTAAAGTAAATAGCACTTTCACCCGTCCTTTCTAAATGGGATATCGCATGTAAATTGTCCCATGCCATCCCTTCTTAAATTCAAATCATCTACACTTGAACTTTGTAAGTGGAAAGGCGGGAAAAGAAGTGAGGTCTCCGCGCGAAGCTCAAATTTGACGCCGACGGTAATTTTTCACGTGGCCTCACAATTCCTTCATTCGCCAAAAGTCAAAGTCCGCACCAGCCAGCCAAGAATCATCGCACGAACCCCGTTAACGTACGTAAAAGAAACAGGTCCGACGCAATAGCAAGCTTCCTCCTCAGCGCTTTCCTTTCTCTTCCCCTACCATGGACTCTTCTCTTCCCTCCGTCTAGGGGGGACAGCGAGGAACTGAAAATATACGAAGGGAAAGGGAGAAGGGACAATTTAGGATTTTTCTTTCCCCTTGTTTGTCGTTTACTGACGTTCTCGTTCCTGTCTGGCAGACATCATGAGAGAGCTCGTTCATATTCAGGGTGGTCAGTGCGGAAACCAAATTGGAGCCAAGTTCTGGGAGGTTATTTCCGACGAGCATGGTGTAGATCCCACCGGCTCGTACCACGGTGACTCGGACCTGCAGCTCGAGCGCATTAATGTGTATTACAACGAGGCCACAGGCGGACGCTACGTGCCCCGTGCTATCCTTATGGACCTGGAGCCCGGCACCATGGACTCGGTTCGTGCTGGTCCCTACGGCCAGCTCTTCCGCCCCGACAATTTTGTGTTCGGCCAGACAGGTGCCGGTAACAATTGGGCCAAGGGGCACTACACTGAGGGCGCCGAGCTCATTGACTCCGTTCTGGATGTCGTCCGTAAGGAGGCGGAAAGCTGTGACTGTTTGCAGGGTTTCCAGATCACGCACTCGCTTGGTGGCGGTACCGGCTCCGGTATGGGAACGCTTCTTATCTCAAAGATCCGAGAAGAGTACCCGGACCGTATCATGTGCACGTACTCGGTATGTCCATCTCCCAAGGTGTCGGACACTGTTGTAGAGCCCTACAATGCTACGCTGTCTGTACATCAGCTTGTCGAAAACGCCGATGAGGTCATGTGCCTGGATAATGAGGCCTTGTACGACATTTGCTTCCGTACGCTGAAGCTCACCACCCCCACCTATGGTGACCTGAATCACTTGGTGTGTGCCGCTATGTCGGGCATCACCACTTCCCTACGATTTCCGGGACAGCTGAACTCGGACCTGCGGAAGCTGGCCGTGAACCTGATCCCGTTCCCTCGTCTTCACTTCTTCATGATTGGTTTCGCGCCGCTGACGTCACGTGGTTCGCAGCAGTACCGTGCCTTGACGGTGCCTGAGCTGACACAGCAGCAGTTTGATGCTAAAAACATGATGTGCGCCGCCGACCCTCGCCACGGCCGCTATTTAACTGCCGCTTGTATGTTCCGCGGACGCATGAGCACGAAGGAGGTTGATGAGCAAATGCTGAACGTGCAGAACAAAAACTCGTCGTATTTTGTCGAGTGGATTCCTAACAACATCAAGGCTAGTGTGTGTGACATCCCACCCAAGGGCCTGAAGATGAGCACCACCTTTATTGGTAATTCGACAGCCATCCAAGAGATGTTCAAGCGTGTGTCTGAACAGTTCACGGCTATGTTCCGTCGTAAGGCTTTCTTGCATTGGTACACTGGTGAGGGTATGGACGAGATGGAGTTCACGGAGGCTGAGTCCAACATGAACGATCTCGTGTCTGAGTACCAGCAATACCAGGATGCGACCGCAGAGGAGGAGGGTGAATTTGACGAGGACGAGGAAATGGATGAAATGATGTAGAGGTCGTATCGGTTACGACTTGTTGTCGCATGCGTAGCTTAGCTATCAACACTCGGAGAGAGTAGTTGGCTTGGCATCTACAGAACAGAGATCTTATTACCTTGCTTTTTTTGCTGTTTTGCTACACGTAAAGTCAATGCAAAGTTCGTTGCTACCTTTTTTGGTGCCAAAGATTGCACTTTCAAATTGTGACAGTCAAAGCACCTTCTAATTTTATTCGAAGGTCGATCGTCCAGACTAGTATTTGGAGGAAACAAGTGACCTTGTGCACGCTAGTTTGGCTACTGCATCTACCGATATAACCCCAAGTTCATCTCCACGTCTGTAATCCATTAGCTGTCGCTCGTTAATCAATGATTGAAGAAAATAAAGAATAGGCAGTAATTTGTGTGCATTATATTGAGTGCATGCAAAAGCAGTCTAAAGTGGCATCGATCGTTCATCATAATACGCGAATATGTTGTGCTTGCTAGAGGCGATGGAGATATATCTTTCAGCTAGTATATCACTAATAAATGTATCTAAGAAATCTCTAGCTCAAATGAGGACTGAAGACAGCAAGATGGTCTTTCCGAGAGACACCTACATTTCTTCTACCATGTCGCCAACCCTGTCCGGTCTTAGTGATAAGCCATTTCTGAGTACCTATGTCTTGTTATCTTCGAAGATGCAGTTACTTGGCAGTCTGAGGCTTTGGACGTTTGGCAGGGTTGCGTCCCGGGATCTATACAGAAGTAACAAACAACCACACCAATTAGTGATCCCAATCTCTACGGGATATTCCAATCATACCACCGGGTATGTTGCGTAGCTGCACATCTCAGTAATATTGTGAAGACTTTCTACTAACCAGGACGTCAGGATTTTTGGGGTCCTTGACCCACGTGACGTTGCTGACATTAGCGCTCTCCTTGAAGAGTAGCAGAAACTCGCCCACGCGCTCCACCTTGCCTCCCCATAAATAAATCCGATTGCTCTTCAGCACCACCTGTGTTCCTGATAAAAATAAAATGTCTCCCAGTTGCACCTGCAGCGCCGTCGTCTTGGGCAGCACGAGGCTCACGCAACCCGAGTCGTCTCCCACCAGCAGCGTCGCGTTGTTGCTGGTATTGCCTTCGTCTTTAGCATTGCATTCTAGAACGATTATCTTCACGTTCACCTCCTTGCTGCAAAGCGAAGGGCTCAGGTCCTTCACGCGCGTCAGCTGTAGCGGCTTCTTGCTGCTGCGACTTGTCATACTCCAAGTGCCAAGTAAATTTTAAAATTGTTTTTGTTCTGTTATAAAGGATATTATCATCGTAATAACAAACTCAGGAAGATATTTACAACATCGTAGATTGTTTTAGCGACTTTATCCTTTACTCATTTTAGAATCGCTTTTATTCCAACTTCACAGCAGCACGATAAACAGTCTTATAATATATTCCGAATAGTCCGCCGATGCTCAAGTGATGCGCGTTCCCTGCCATGATAGGTTGGCTTAAGTCAAACACTGTGAGGAAAGAACGAGGGCAAAACTATCTTCGGTTATGCTCCGTATAAATGCCAAAAAATGGAGAAAAGCACCGACCTTGGTTGATTGCATAAAAATCAAGCTTGTCAGCCGCAGACTCGAAACCTAGATGACTAAATGTGAATTGGAGGTGAGACCCCGCTATCCAAGATATCAGGTTGCAGGTATCTGATAACACTCATTATGTAGCCATCTGCCGACGGATCTTTGTTGAAGAAATGTCATTCCGGAACGCAGACTCGGGCAGTGGAATGAAAAGATAGCGAAGCACGGGCGGCACACATTTCTCCAGAACCTCCTCGGCAGTTATAAATCGGTTCTCCACCTTGTTATCATATCTTCCAGCCACCACGAAAGAGCATTCGTGGCGAGCAATGTGTTCCAGCGCCAGCACCATCTTGTGCTCGTCCATGTCGTAATATTTCTTGTCCACGATGCGAACTGCCGTATCAGCGCCAATAATGAATGTGCAGCCAGGAAGCAGCTCGGCTTTCTCGCCAAAGAACGTAGCATTCGTGACCAACACGGGCCAAGCATCCAGTCCTAAGGTATCGCCATGTGAAAACTGCGCAAGTCGTGCCGAGACGGTAGACGATTCAATCGCACCCTTATCTGCATTCGCCACTGTTAGTTCAAACGCTACCGGTAGTTCGACTCTTGTTCGCGATTTCATCAGCTGCTGGGCAACGCGTGCCAGATCTATGTGACCCCTGTGAAGTGGATTAAACGATCCTGGTAGAACCAATCCACGGAAATCAAACCCTTGAGCAGCAATCGTTGTAGCAGCTACGTTATCTTTTGGTGACACGGGCAAAAAAGCGACACTCAACAGTTTGTTCGCGTTGCTACTACAGATGTCATGTAGTGGATCGTCATTTCCTTCATCTGACGTCAGCTTCACGACAGTATCAATTCCAGTCTGTGCAGACGTCAGTTCATCATAAAAGGCTTTACATGTTTCGAAGTCCACAGAAGCAGCCTTGGCCAGGAGATACACAAGCCAGCGACTCACAATTTGGTCTTCCTCCGATCTCGAGCGCCCCAAAGACTTGTCCAATTGGAGATGATACGTTTCACATTGTGGTCGCATGAAAGTGTTGCTGTTGGACATAAAGTGAGCCTGGCACACTGAAATGAAACACTCATGCGGGCCCTTCTTGGGGTAATTAGTCGCAAGTCCAGCGGTGCATGCGATGCCCAAAGAAGTGCGAAATCGCTTCAAAGAGCTGGGCACCGCTGCTGCAGTTTGCGCATCCTCCTCCTTTGCTTCCTGCCATGTAGTAATTTTTGCTTGCTTCCATGCAGCAAGCGCCATGCGTTCTGACATCTCCGCTGAGCAACATTTTAGCTTTGAGGACGTCAACGAAACCGAACTCAAGTAAGACTGCAAGCTCGCGCGCGAATAAGGGACAGTAAACTGCAGCATGATGGAAGAACTACCTGGGTGGAAGAGGCTTTCAGCTACTGAAACACCGCCACCTGTCACTGCTGCCACCACCTTTACGTCAGCAGCCAGTAGACGCTCTATCAATGCAATGCTTGACATTTGGAAAATGTTTTTAACGTAAATTCCGTGCTTTCTCTAATTAGTGAGTAAGTACCAAGAAAAAACATAATAATAATGCCGTAACCCCTTATTGAAAGTTTGTAACCCTACGATAAGTTATGGGTACGGTGGACGTAGACCCTCTCCAAGAATCTCAACTTGGATATGGGCTTGATCCATGTCCATGATGCACCGGTCCCGAGTATACCATGTTCCATATTCATAATCGCGGACATAACCACAAAAGAATCTGACGACCGGTAGAACATCGTAATTGTTATTGACATATGTTGTTTATTTCTGACTACAATAACAGCTATCTAAAATAACTGTTTTGTAGGGAAGACACGGATGAAAACCTCGATTATCCGTTGACCCCCCAGCTTACTTATCTTGTTAAATGGACATACAAAGAGTCCGAGATTCCTGTACTTTGACACATATATTTCTTTTTAGTTTCTCCGTGTAGCGGAACTACACAGCTCTTTGGTCAGAGGAAGACTTTTTAGGCTGAAAGCCTCATAGTTATATAAAACTAATCAAAGTTTTGGCTAAAAGCCACTTAGTTCTAAGGAACTAATTAAAGACTTAAAAGTCGCCCTGTTCTACAGTAAGGAGCTAGGAAAGAGACTTTTAGTCAGTCAAGCAATAAGCTTTAGGTTTAGAGAACCAACGCACAGAGTGCAAGAACAAGCTAGAAGCTCAAAGGTTCAGAGAAACAACGCACGAAGTGCATAAGAGAACAAGTCAGAACGACTTGCGATCTTAAACTCAAAATGAGAACTGATTTTATTTATGCTATAAGATTTTATGAATAGTCCTACTCTAAGTACACTTCACTAGATTAATTACTATAATAGTAACTATTATATGCAGACTTTGCTATTGGACGACGTATCGTCTAAACATCTGTGTATGATGTACTTAGTACAGCGTTCTCAATTTATCGAATCCTAATTGATAAGATACGGTATTACCCAATACCGTATCTTTAACGCTTATACTAAATATCTCTCTAAAGAGAAGTATCATAATGCATTATATGCAATAAAAGGGGACTTCAACTGTGAACTAATGGAGTGATGTTCCAACCGTCGTGTAAATTCGTTTACAATCCAATATAGGATTGTGCACTTCGTTTGGTTCTCTGAACCTCTAAGCTCCTAGCTTGTTCTTGATCTTTGTGCATTGGTTCTCTGAACCTTAACCTATTTCTTATAGACTAAAAAATCCCTCCTATTTTCTTAAAACAAGGTGACTTCGTAATCGTTCAATTAGTTTCTTAGAAGTAAGTGGCTTTTAGCAGAAACTTTATTAAGTTCGGTGTTAAAAGTCTTCCTCTGACTAAAGAGCTGTGTAGCTCCGCTTCATTCGGTAGCACTCGCAGTCAATCCTACACCTGAGTCTGTGAGACTGACCCTCTGCGATGATGAAGAGACAAAATCACCTCTATGAGGCGCAACAACTCGAACTAGATTAATTATCTGCGTTTGTTGAGCCCGATCAAATCGAGGCTCTTTTGGTCCAGGGACCGGAGGTCGTCAATGCTCTCCTTGAGGCCTTCATGCGTTATGAGGCAACGTTACTCGGGCAGGTCCACGACCAGGCAGCGTCAGCTACGCCTACGCAGTATATCCCATTGATTCATAGCCAAAGTCTTGCCCACTCGTTTCAAACGTAAAATACTTTAATGGGAAGGAGGGATCCGAGAGGTTGAAATGGTAATGGATGCCGCCATGCTCGTGTCAGAAAAGTAACGAGTTGGCCTAGCCATTTTTTTTCTAAGCTTGGCGGACAAGCTAGAGAATGGGCTCTAACGAGCGATGTCTCTGTAAACGCTGCATTTCCCACATGGGAAATGCTTCGAAAGCAATTAATCTGCGTTTTTGCAGGCTTATCGTGTGCGCTCACGCTTTTTAGCTACCAGACAGGGTAAGAAAGAATTGTCGGACTATGTCCAAGAGTTGAGGACTCTTATTGCTGTTATGCAGCAGGACCCTATGGCAGAGGAAGTCCGAGTAACCATATTTATGGTAGGACGTCGTGCTGGTGTCGCCAGGACAGAAGATTTTCGTGTACAGCCTTTGACTTTCGACGAGGCAGTGAGCATAAGCGTTAAACGCTGAGTTCAACTTCAAATCTGGTCGCTATGGTCTACCATGGTACAATTTAAACGTTGCCAACAGGGACGAACCCATGGACCTCAGCCATGCTAAAGGGGAAAAAGATGAGCTTCAAGCTGCAGAGCAGCACAGCAACATCCGTCAATTTTACATGTGCGGAAGCACTAGGCAACTCCGTCCTAGCTGTCCGTTGCGAAGGAAACGTCCTAATCGGCAGAGCCGTAACCCTGCTTCTAGCCAAAATGCGAGCACGGCAGGGAAAATTGTCAGCTCCTGTGGTGGAGTGGGTTCTCAAAATTGTATGATGAGACCCCAAACCACTCACTGTGCCGGACTGCCGACTGTCGGAGGGGGTACCCCGATGCCGCGTATGAACCTTCTCTCACCTTGTGTACCCGTCGGCTGGCGGGTTGCACTCTTCGGAGGACTTGGTGACGATGTAGACGTCTGCCTTGAGGGAGGTAGACCTGGGGGCCTCGAGTGGATATGCTTCACTCGGTGGGCCGGTAGGTGGCCACTCAATCGACCTTGTCGAGAGTGGACTTAGAGCCAAATTCTTCAGGGGCGCTTGTCGTTCCTGGCCTTTTCCTTCTGTTTGGGGGTATTAACCACCTGACCTTTACGTTGCTCCCGGACCTTGAGGTGAGGGAGACCGCTTCCGATAGCGGGTCTTGGGGGGTGTTGCTACTCGAACGAGCTCACAGGCCAAATATATCCTGGAGATCTATTCGCCCTTGAACTTCGCTACGCAACTGTCTTCGACGGGGGGCCAAAATATATCCCTTCCCGGAACAGTGAGTAACTTAGAACAAGTCCTTCTTGGGTGACGGAGTCGTGCCACGTAGAACGCAAATTGAGTAGTATTTAATATAGTCCTATCCTTTTCACTCCTTTACTCTATCCTTGCCTGAAGCTCTGATTTCTTGCGTCGACTGGTCTGATCCTTGTATAAACTGGTCAGGAGTGGCTGAACCCCGAGGGGCCGAGGTCGACCAATGAGGGACCCAGGTCTACCAACGAGGGACCGGGTCGACCGATGAGGGACCAGGTCGACCAACGAGGGACCGGGTCGACCGACGAGGGACCCAGGTCTACCAATGAGGGACCGGGTCGACCAACGAGGGACCCAGGTCGACCGATGAGGGACCCGGGTCTACCAACGAGGGGCCAGGTCGATCAATGAGCGGCCATGATCAACTCCCTTTGGTACCGGTTAACCGGTACCCTGATACTGATTTTTCTTCGGCGAATCCTGCGGATTGTCCTCCACCAACGGTCGCTCCCCTTTGAGGCCCCTGTCTCTCTGGTCCCCTGTCCCTGACCCACGGCTTATACTCTGAATCCAACTGGAGTCCGGGACCTCCATATCACAAAATTAGCACTTCACCACAGCCGCCCCCTGCACTTGCTCAACCGTACAACGGATTGAGCACGCGCATGTCTTCACTTCCTTCGTCACGTAGGTCCTTCACTGTCCCCTTTGTAGCTCCTCCACCTCTAGCTCGTGTCTGTCCAGCCATGTCTTCCCCTGGTTCTGATCCACCGTCTGCTGACCCACCGTCCGCTGATCCACCGACTGAAGAGCCGACCTCGGTCGCCCCAGCGCCTTCAATCGCCCCTGGTTTTAACCCCTCATCTGCTGACCCACCGTCCGCTGACCCACCGTCTGAAGAGCCGACTTCAATCGCCGTCGCGCCTTCGGTTGCCTCTCCATGTAGAGAGGCGTCCTTGGCCGACCTTCCCGGGCCGGTGTCTTCGCCGTTGAGTGCTGCTGAAACTGTTGTCGTTCACAGCTCTCCTGTTTCCACCGCTTTGCCTCCTGCCGAGACAGCAGATGCTCCTGTCACGCCGACCCCCATGGTTGACCGTCCGTCTTCCGCACCCGTCAACGTACGGGCAGCTCTGCGGGAATTGCAAGCTCTCGCGGACGCCCATTCCCGCCGCATCGAAGACTGCGAGGGTCGGCTAGGTGTTCTTCCCCCTTCGGCCGCCTTGTTGGCCACTCGTTGTGAGCGGTTGGAGGAGGCACTGCGCGGCAGGTGGCCCAACTTCGCGAAGCTCTCCAGCGCGAGACTGCACTGGTGGACCGTCTGCGATGGAAGGTCGACCACATCCGAAGCCGGTACTCGCTTCTCGCCGCAGAGCTCGACCATGTCGACTTCTCTGACGGGCCACCTCCGGGACCAGCTACTCCTTCGGCAGCTTCGCCCCCGGCCGCATGTTCCCCTTCGCGGCCGGCGAAAGCTCTTGGTAAACGGTCCCGGCGGCCGTCACCCCGGGTACCCGCCAAAGCCTCCAAGCTTCCGAAGCCCGACGCCTCTGCGATACCACTGTCGGCGGTCTCTGGTGGTCGTTCCCCTGTCGTTCCTGAGTCTTTGGACGACGACCTCAGCGACGACAGCGAGACCCTTCGGGCGGCTCTGGCCAAGTCTCGTTCTGCTAGTCGGCGCCCTGCCAGTGCGAGCCCTGTACGTCTTCCGTCGACGTCCACTCCTCCATCGAGGGCCACCTCGGCTACCGGCCTCTCGTTGAAACGGGCGATGTTCGGGACATCGGACTCGGAGACCGAGTCGTCTGCGGAGAAAAACAAGAGTGCGCCTACTGTCGCGGACAACACTTCGCCCCTTTTGGCCGACTCCAGCCTGCTTCCCAGAGACTCCATGATCCCCGGATACATGCAGTCGAAGACCTTTTCCGCCGCGGAAGTGGCACCTTGGCCGGTCGACCTGGTCAATTCGTGGTGCATTGTTACAATGTCTTCCACAGACTTGGTCGACCAGCTGGATCTACCTTGGGGTTGATTTGGCCCTCCGGACGGAAACCTCGACCGGCCCCCCAAATGGAAGAGGTCGTTGGTGAACCCTCCAATGATCCAGA